AAGACGATGATGGAAGTGACGTCCGCAGGATAAGAATAAGGAAATTAAAACCGGATTTGTCACGGCGCGCAAGCAAGGTATGTTAGCGTATCTTATTGTCGGAAATGGCAGTGATATGCGCTTCAATGTATTCAGATGCCTGGTATTCAGAATGAATTTATATACTTGATTTACAAAAATGCTACATTTCGTAGTCATATATTCTAATATATATTAAAATAATACACTAAAAGATAGGTATAAAATTAGAATGTTTCATAATAGTTATTCTTCCTTTACAGGCGTTTGGAAGCAGGAAAAGGGGAACATCCAAACAACTTGGCAGTTTCAGGTACGCAGTAAAGAACAAGAAGTCAGAGCAGGTGTTCGGTCACCAGGCCATGTACGGCGAGGCGGATCAGAGTGGCAGCTATTTCGTCCAGTTCGCTGATGGTCGAATATTGTACGTTACGTATACGGCTGACCACCGCGGATACAGGCCCCTCCTTAGGTAAGCGTCAAGCTCTTCTCCTTCGAATTTATATGGCTGATAGGTAAATGCGGGATAGTGGTGACAATAGATTATTGGATATGACTGCACATTGGTGTATTTATAAAGATTATAGTAACCATTGCCATTATTACTATAATATTATATTTTTTTGTTACTTTTTTCGAGTGATCGTATGGCATATCTACCATTTTCAGATACTTCGACAGTCGTGAAGAATTAAACGCGTTTCTTAGGCCGCAATCGCAAGGAGGCCTAATCTTTCCACCGCGGACAACCACCGCCGCCCCAGTGAGGACGACACCGTATGTCGTTCTCACAACCGAAAGTCCTGTTTTGCCCGCCGATTCTTCTGAACCATCGTCTCCTGCACTTCAACTGTCGACGGAGGTCCCCGTGGAACAGCCTCTTATTATAGAAGACCTGGATGTTGAGTCTTCCCTGGATGTCTCTTCTGAAGTAGTCTCCACTACTGCCTCACCAATAGATGAAGCACCTCTTAATGATGCAGTGACTCAGGGAATATCTCTAACGACGATGCAAAATGAGGACGCCATCACCTCGGACCTTACGACAGCAATGCCTTCTGAACTCTCAGCAGATCTGAGTAGCACTACCGATGTAGACGCTTTAATAACAAATTTACCAGATACGATGACTCTGATGCCCGAATTAGACCAATTCAATAATGACGCCTTGGATACCAGCATCTCTTCTGGTGGGTATTCCGATGTAGATAATGAAGAGGTACTTGTTACCTCAGCACCGGAAATAGTTGATGAGGAAGTTAATGTGACTAGTACTCCTGAAGAAGAGATTGTAGACACTACCACTGCCGAGGAGGATGGACTTTTGGTTAATCTGGTCACCAGTAAACCCGAGGAAGACTCTTTGATTACTCAACAACCTGAAACATTAGCTTCAAGTCTGAATGAATCAATAGAAGGGTCATTGACCACAAGTATATCCGAAAAGGACACATTAACCACCAATGAACCTGAAGATATTTTAATTACGACCGTACCTGTGGAAGAATCTTTGGTAACTATTGAAACTACAGAGAAATCCTTTGTTGCCAGTGAAATAGAGGAAGAAGTTTTGGTTACAAGTAAAACAGAAGAAAATATGGAGTCCAGTGAATCCGAGGAAGAGGATTTGATTACTGATAGTCCAGATGAGGAAGTTGTCATCACCAGTGAACCAGAAGGATTTTTGGTTACTAGTGTCCCTGAAGAAGATTTGCTTACAAGTAAACCTGCAGAAGATGCTTCTGTTACCAGTAACCCTGACAAGTCTTTAGTTACTAGTGATTATGGAGAAGGGTTTTTCGTTACAGGCGAAGCCGAATATGAGTATTTTGGCACCAGCGAACCAGAAAAACAATTGCCAACTACCATTCAACCTGAAGAAGACCTAACTACTGTTGATCCAAAACAATATATAGTTACAAACAAACCAGAGGAAGATTTGTTTATCACTAGTGACCCAGAAGGAGAATTTCCGGCTACGGCTGAACCCGATGAGGAGTTTTTGAATAGCAGTGAATCTGAGCAAGAAGAGTCTTTGGTTACAAGTAACCCACAAGAAGAATCTCTTGTCACCAATGCAACAGAAAATATGTCGGTTACCAGTGAACCCGAAGAATTTTTGACTACCGTTACACCAGAAGAATCATTCATCACTAGTGGTTCCGAAGAAGACCACTCAAATACTAGTGTAACTGCTGCGGAAGCCTTCGTCACTGACACACCAGATATAGAACCTGAAACCACTGACAGACCGGATGCAGAATTTGAAATCACTGGCCAGCAGAAGGAAGAATCCGTTACACTCAATTCAGTCAACGAACCACTCTTCACTACCGTTATGCCGAGTGACAATGCAGTTGATGAGAACACGGAAAGGCCAGACTCACTTTCTGAAATAGATACAGAGAATGATGTAGAATACGATTCTATGCTCGAGGCTGACAGCAGTGGCCTCTTGAAAGAGACTCTTCCTGAAGATAATACAACGACCCCCGAAGATGCTGAATATGTATTTAATGCTAATGATACCCAAACTCCCAATGACGAAGTGGAAACGGAAGAAGCTCTATCATCAATGAGCATGAGTGATACTGAGGATGTTACCCTGCAGCCGGCATTGCAGACCGATGAACCTCCAGTCAAAGAAGAGGAGTCTTCAACTTTAGCAAACGATGCCAACGACAAACAGGAAGGGAACGTTATTAATATTTTACCACCACCATCGCCCTCTGAAAAAGCTCTCTATATGGAGATGTTGCCGAAGAATTTGGACATGAGCGTAGTTCCCTCATCAGATCAAGCTCGCAACGGCACACAGGTTCCTTCGAACACTAGTAACGCAAATGCAATTCCCATTATACCGCACGGAAACACCAGGCCAGAATACGTCGCTATATCTGTACTTCAGAAAGATACGGGTGTTGTCCAAAATCCTGCTGACGCCAAGGGGGAGCTCTCCAACCAGCGCGACGCAGCCGATTTGACATCTTTGCCACGCGAAAGAACGTCTACCAATCACCAGCCAACGCGTGGCCCCACGACGCAATCTCTCGTCCGTAAAACGGTTAACCGCGCCAGAAACCTGTCCTCCCGACGAAATTCTCTCCTTTTCGGGAAGCGAAGAGCTTCCGCCCTCACGATGAAACTCCGCCCGTCCCTGAAGTTATCAGGCCAAAAGAAGACCGAAGATGACTCGGAATCGTTGGGGAACCGTTTCAGACTGCCGCCGCGGCGGCTAGGTTCGCAGAGGCGCGTCCCTCCCACACGCAACGCTCGTCTGTACCAACATTGGCTCAAAAGACAATCCAGAACTTTAGGGACGTTAAAAAACAGACGGTTATCAAAAAACTAGGGTTAAAAAGATAAGCTTAGTTTGCGTTATCTTTTAAGGTGTCTTGTTAAAGGTTAAGCTTAGTAACATGTATCTGTGATTATTATATTTTACAACTGGAGGGTTACTCTGTCTCATAAACAAACTCTGACTCAGAAGTATTAGGATAACATATGGATGTATAAAAAAAAAATCGTTCGGGGACTTGAAGGTCTTCATCAGCTTGAATCATTTTAATCATATGCAAGAGTACTTCTAAATCATGCATACGTGCATAAACATAAATATACAAAACTCTCACGCGCGCGCACACACACATACATGTATGTATATGTATGTATATATACATGTATATCTATATCTATATATATATATATTGTGTGTGTGTGTGTATGTATATATACATGTATATCTATATCTATACATAACTGTATATAATATATATATATATATGTGTGTATGTATGTACGTATGTATGTATGTGTATATATATATATATACATACACACACACACACACACACACACATATATATATATATATATATATATACATATATATATGTGTGTGTGTGTGTGTGTGTGTGTGTGTGTATGTATGCATGTATGTATGTATGTATATATATATACATACACACACACACACACACACACACATATATATATATATATATATATAATATATATATATGTGTGTGTGTGTGTGTGTGTGTGTGTGTATCTATGTTTATATATATGCATACACACACACAAATATATATAAAATATATATACATATATAACTTACCATAGCATTTAATTCATGATGGGTAAATAAATATGAATGTATGTGTTTGGCTCCCATATTATTTATCCTTTTCTCTAACACTTCGCTTATTATTATTTCCGTTATCCTTGAGAATGACTGAAAACTAATAAAACACTGTAACAAATTAGTGACAAAAATTCTCTTAGGCATTGCAAATATGGATTTGTAAAGATATATTCTTAGCACCAAGGGTCTCTCATCTATTCAGTGTTGGATCTTTTGCAGTAATAAAGGAATGTATAGAGATCGATAGAGCATATGATGATATATAATATTATATATACTATGTTATTATCTATTTGTAAAATTATATACTTAATATCTATACTAGTAAACAGTGATGTATATATATAAGATAGATATTTAAATATGAGTAGTGATATGTGATTATATATACATATTATATATACATAATATATATGTAAGTACTATATATATATATATATGTGTATATGTTAAGTAATATAATATATAGTACATATATAATACATATAATATATATATATTATATATATATAATACTACAAGAATATATATACAATATAAGTATATACATATAATATATATATATTATATTATATATATATATATTATATATATATATAAATATAATACCACCATATAAGTATATATATACATAATATGCAAATATATCTGATCTAAATATATATATATATATATATATATATATATATATATATGATAGATACGATAAGATAATATAGATAAATATGTGTTTGTGTGTGTAATATCATATAATATATATATATATATTATATATATATATATATTTATATATATATACATATATATTTTATTTATATATATATTTACATATATATAT